GAGCCTAGCCCCCTCTGCTGGGCCTCTCAGCTGGCAAGCTAGCTCACTGTTAGTACGCAGTTTTGCCTCAGCGTTTTCCCGCCAAAATCAGGCTGCCTCAGAGCACCTTCATCTAAGTCTCCCCAGTTGGCACGTTCTTCTACTAGCGCACCTCCCCGTGAGGTCCACCTAGAAGATTACCTACGCGCCTCAGCCTGTCCCTGACTAGACCCCCCTTGCTCTGGGCACACTTGCCAAGGCTTTGCTGGACCGCTGGACAACTGGACCAGTCGTATCCCACCCGCTGGACACCAATCAATGTGACAAACCCAGACCTACTGGGATATGTCACACAGTTACACTAAGCTGCCACCAACCATTCCCTATAAGAAGTCACACAGACCAGGGATGGATTTTTAAACAATAAAAGAATAAGGTTTATTTTAAATACAACACACAGGAAAATAAAACAATCAGGTGTATAAAATAAAGTAACGTGGCTTATTCTCACTCATACAAGCATACAGTTTGGTTCACCCAGAACCCTTAACTTGAAGCACAGACCCTGAACCTATCAGTTCTGGCTAACCAACAGACACCTGAACCTATCAGGTTGGTACTCTGACACACAGTAGTACCCTGTCTGACACACAGACTCCCACAACAGCTTCTTCTTCCCAGCTGCTGCTTCGTCACAACCCAGTGTCTCTCAGCATCTCCTCTCACACCACACAGGCATCACATATTTATACAGTACAGCCCCTCCTCCTGATGTCCCGCCTTCCACTCCCCATAGGATGGAACTTTCCCTCCAAACCCATGACAGACAGGTAACATCAGTGCTGTATGTAACAGTTATATCTCCGAGTTATTCTCTACTTTGTTTACATGTTGATTTTTTTTAGCACAATTAGATTATGTTTTTGGCTACACTGTAAAAACCTGACACAATTCCTAGTTTGAGGCTGTGGGACTTTATATTCTTAAAGCATTTATTGTAAAGACAAAAAATGGATATCTGAAAGAACGTGAGGTTCAAGAAGCCAAATAGGTTTGATACAACAACTGGATGTTTGATACTCACAATGTTCATCAGGGTCAAAAGATATTTCTGAACATGTTCTTTCCCATGGAATTGTACGACGGAGTCATCGACACCTAGAAGTACTTCAATGTTGTAATCATCATCCGTGGCATGCCTTGGATATCTTCTCTTCCTTCGTGTGTTATCAACCTCATCCTTCAACAGGTTCAACATGCTGTCTAGGTTGCTGAAATCAGCCTCTGGAAGAAATTGAAATCAACAAAAAAGGGGGAAGCTTAAAAGTCACCTTTCACTTTATAAGGGGAATAATTTATAAGAGCAAGCACATACACTTCTAGAAAGTTTAGTGGTAGAGAAGAGATATTTCAGAAATGCCTCAAGGACACTGGAAAATTATAAGGAGCGTATCTTTAAATTTAAAAACACACATGCTCCTTTAAAAAAATTCTCATTGTCTCAAAGAAAATAAGTCAGTACAGAGTAGCTGATTTGGGGTTTCCCCAAAATATCTGGCTATCAATTATCATATTTATAGCCAAAAACCTCAACACATATGTGTTACTGCAGCACTTGGAAACATTAGCTGTTCTGCATAACTCCAAACCTACCATACAGAAAAAAGGCAACTCTTTAATTGGTGGCAATCTTTTAGGATTAGTGATATCAAACCCAGGCAGAGCTGCATGACAGGATACCAGCCACTTCCTATAATCCTAATTTCCTAATCCTAATTATGTTTGTCAGTGGCTTGCAAACACTGAGTTGATGAAAAATAGGAAACTAAGGGTAGCTAGTTAAGGGAGAAGTTAAACTAGATGAAACAAGTTAGCATAATGGTGAAAATGATTAAGGTCAATATCCTCTTAATGCCCTTTCTGAGATATAAATAGCTATCATAAAGCAAACTTCTTTAAGCAAATTGTTCAGATACAACATTCAGGAAAGCACAAGAAGCCACAACAGACGTACATTATGAAAAAATGAAAAGTTTCCTATGAAAATTCTTAGTAAGAATTCATTAAATAGCAAAAAATGAATTAAATCCATATTTCTCTAGCATACATATCATACGAAGAGTCATGAGAGCATTCATTCATCAAAATATTTATTTCTTATGAAGACTAAAAGTTTCTGGATCAGTTCCTCTTGCATGAATTCAGTACAAGCTCATTCAGATTCAGTTTGATAACCTGGATTTATCCAGCCATATGATGTCAAAACAAATTTGGATACATGGACTGTGATGCAGGAAGTTACTTCAAGTATCCAACACTTTTAGGGCATAAGCATTTTGCTTTGTGACATCTTTTACTTGGACAGTCGATGCTGCCAATGTCACACTGGAATGGGTGGTGGGAGTTAAAAATACAACACAAAAAGAAAAACCCAAAATTTGCTGTGGACATTTATGCAGCCATGCTCATCGCTAGGATGGGACCAGAATCACTTGATGATATTTATTGCATGGCTCCTTACATTTATAATGAATATGGTGAAGTTTATTTCCTCACACACTGTCTGTGGTTTGTGTACTGGGAGGGATTTTTCTAGGCTGCTAACCATTTGTTCCTTCCAGCCTTTGAATTTAAAGAGTGTCCCGCCCCTGCTGAGTGTTCTTTTCCTCTTTCCTCAGTTGGTGAAAGTGTTGTTTGTTTGCTGCTGATCTATTCAGTTGGTTGCTATGTGCGCAGTAAAAAAAGGAGCATACGCAAGTCCGTAATTTCAAGCAACTGTAAAGAAATGTTTTTTTTATTCTTACTCCTATAAATGTCTCTGAGTGAGTTACTGAAACTTTAAGTGCCAGTTAATGAGAAAGGGGAAACTCTGAGGATCTTTTAGCAATTCTCCCCTGTGGATCTCTGTATTTCTACTGTGTAGCAAAGAAAAATCACCAGAAATTCAAAACTATGCAACAGAATATGACAAGGCAACATGCAAAATTCTTCTACAACATCAGTGTGAATCTACATCAATGTCACAAAGATAATAATTCAGGCAGAGAAAATATAGGATGTATGCGTTCGATCTGATGAGAATTCCAAAATATTATGAATTGTTTAAAACAATATGCTAATGCATGTGATGTCTTGAAGTGTCCTTGCTGTGTTCTTCTAAGATCAGTTTACAGACAGGTGTGAGGAATGGAGTGAGCATATGAACAGGATGCCTTAGTACACTTAGTATATCCAATCAGCATTTACAGAAATAGCATCATCCACATGACTACAGTATCAGTATGAAGGAACACAAAAGGGATTACACATTTTTGCTTACATCTTGTTTATCTTTTCCTATTGACATTCAAGTGAGGTTGATAAGAAACGTACAGGTGTATCCTCTCACCCACATAAAGAATTAGAAAGAAAAAGCACTAGTATTCAAATATATAAAGCACCACAATGTTTTTTTTTAAATGCAAATGCATAATACAGAAAACCTCTTACATCTGAAAAAATATATGGATAAGGGCTCCAATTTCTGATATGGTGGAAATTATATTTTATACTGGCCTTTAACAGAAGAAAATAATTTTAGACAGATATCTTGACAAATTGCTCTTACAAGCAGTTTTAAATTTAATTTGTGTTTATTCTAGTTATGAAATGTTCCATTAATATTACATTTCAAACAGCTAAATGAGTAAAAGCAATAAAAATGAAATTAACTGTACAATGAATAATACTGAATCTATCAATAAATTAATCTTTTCACTAATTCACTAATAGCTCAGACTGAAGAAAATAGAGAGAATGCTCTTGTAGACCATAATAAAAAAAAAGAGTTTTTGGTCCTTATTCTTCACTGCCCCATGTAATGACCAGAATCTAAGAACAAGGCACATCCCACAGAATGCTTTTTAGTTAAAACTAGAGATGGGCACAAAGCAAAGCATGAACTCGGGGGGGGGGGACCATAAACCAGGCTGGTTTGCAGTTTGGTTCATGCTGAAACAAAATGAAACATCCATTTTTTTTTCTGCTCGGCACTTTGTTTTCCTTTGGCAAAACAGATGCCCGCCTGCCCCCTTCCCACTGCCCCTGTCGCCTCCCTACCTGATCCTGTTGCCACCTCCTCTTCCTCCTCTGCCACCACCATCTTCAGAGACAGCAGGTTGGCTCCCTTCTGGGAGTGGGGCTTGCTGTCTCTGTGCACAGGAGAGGCTGCAGGACCAGGTAGGGAGGCGATGGGGATAGTGGGAAGGGGGCAGGCGGGCGGCAGAGGGGGCAGCAGTGATAAGTTTCCCTCCCCCAGGCATGAACCAGAAAAACAAACTGTGAAATGGTTCGTTTTTCTGGGAGTGGGTAGCTGCAAGCCACAAACCACCACAAACTCCTGGTTTTCCGGTTCGTGCCCATCTCTAGTTAAAACATACGGAAAGATGCATATATGTTTGTGTATGTAATGTGACAACGTTGAGAGGCCAAAACTGTTTCCCACAAGGTTTTGTTTTATTTTATGGTTAGTCTCCAACCACAGGTTCACTGGTTGAGATAAAGACATCTGGGGTATTAAGATAAAATCAGGCAAGATCAGAAATACAACCATCTAAGGGAAATGGCCACAGAGCAAGCAAGTAAAGGTTACCTGCCTATCAGCTCTCTGATTAAAACATTTAGGGATGACCCATGGAAAGCAAACCAACAATATGGGGAAGGGAAAATGTTAAGAGTTTAAAGGTAAGATTGGGTTTTGACTTGAATCCAGAGCTCATTAGGCCAAAGTAAACACCTAGACTTAAGCCCTGCACAGGAGTTTATCTGAGTTTCAAACAGTCATGCTTAGAGAGACCTTTTAAGTCCTTAGCACTCGGTGCATAAAAGTTTAAAGAACAGGAAATGTCACAAGGTGGTCATGTTTTAAGTTTTATTCCAAGATTTAGGTTTTTGGGACCATTCTCTGAGTCTCAGGCTTTGGACGTGAAATTCTTGGAGAAGCAGCACACTTCATATGAAAATCTAGAGGTAGAAACAGCTTCCTTTCGGAAGCTGTTAAATCCAAGAACTACTCAGCCAGTATGGCCACTGGGAAATTCTGGGAACTGTGATGCAAAAAAGTCACCGTATCAAGCTCTGTGAGAACGCATTGCCTTCTATTCACCCCCATTTCATCCCCTTTCAGCAGTATAATTCAGGAAACTATTTTGTTGCTGCTATTGTTAATTAACTGGGAGACAAACAAACAAACAAACAAACAAACAAATTCCTTGTCAATCTACTGCAAATTATCCAAAAATTCCAACAGAAGGCCCAGGTCCCTCTTCCATCTCTGCCTGCCCTTATATAACTCACTCACTTTTTCTTTTTGGCCCACTGCCTACATAGAAATTATAAGGAACTTGCTAGTCACCGTCTGTGCATGTATAATTTCCACTCTTTCACCTTCTCTGATTATTATGAATTTGCAACATCACTGATCTTCCTCACCTTTTTCTTATTCTGTATCCAAACGCCCTCTATTTGTCTTTTATCTTGCCCGTTGCATTTTCTCAAAGCTACATAAGCCTCTTCATAATTCATAAATCCTCTTTTCACAGTACAGGTTGCATTTGGAACCTTATGCTACATATCATGCATAAGGAAATTGGACAAATCCAGGAAGCTGAATTAAACTGCAAGCAGGGTAGTGTGAGGTGAAACTAAATTGAAGTCCACACTCAATACTATACATCATGTACTGACAAAATGCTACACAATTTGAAAATGCTACACTGTTTAGCTCTGTTTCATAAAACAGTTCAATACAGGAATAACTGGAAGCATGTACTTCGCCACTGTTGAAGGGCAAGGAACCTTATGTCTGTAAACAGATGAGATAGAAAGTAGGGACAGAGTGAAACACAGATACCTATTTTTCATTTGTAAACAGGCCTATGGAAAGAAGGAAACACAGCAAAAGGAAGGGGAACACTTTATCAAGGCTCATGAATATGGAGTTGGTGGTGCAGTTCAAACATGCAGGAGGTTCCAGCTTAAATATTTGGCATCACCAATTAATTGGATCATCAGAATCAGGTAATAAAAAAGACTTCTGCCTGAGAATCGGGAAAGCAGGTGCCTGCCGGGGAGACAATATTGGATTAGACTGACGGCGCATATAGCCAGGTATACGTAAGCTTCCTATGTTTCTTCCAATCCATGGATCAAGTCAGACTGAACTGTCTACTGCCCTGTAACCCATCTCTAGCTCATTTTATCTGCCTGCTCTAACACCTGGTGTATTTTTACTTCTCTGGAAGCGT